GAAAATTAAAAAATACTTTAACAAAACAACCCCCCCAAAAAAAGAAGAAAAGAAAGAGAGAGAGAGAGAAAGAGAGAATATGATAAAGCGGGTGAATAGAACAGAGCCATACAGGAGATTTTGGGTGTATTTTGGTCTGTTAAAAGAAACTGTATCCCAAAATTTTAATGAAAGAAAAACTTATACAAAAATAAAGTTAAATACAATGAAGGGATAGAATATGACTGTAAAATGGAAATTAAAAAAGATTTTAAGAAAGGAATTGATAAGATAAGAAGTTGGTTGAAAAAGGAAAGAAGAAAAATTTTAAAAAAGAAAGAAATAAAGAAAATTAAAAAAATTAAAGTTGAAAGACTAAAGAATCATGGGGAAAAAAGCCATGAATTCTATGTGCTGTATTCTGCTAGCTCTGGAGGTTTGCAGTTCTCATTGATTGGTAAACTTGGTCTAGGCTGGATAGTCTTGCTGATCCTCTGGGGGAGGGGCCTGTTGCATTGATTCTCAAAATGTCTTTGCCCCAGGCAGAATTGCACCTCCCTTGTCAGGGGCCAGGCTAAGTAATCTGCTCCTTTTTGCTCTATGTGGCTTTTGTTCCCCAAAGGCTTTCCATGTAGCTTTAGAGGATGAGAATGAAAATGGTGGTCCTCAATCTCTGGCCCCGGAGCTAAAAGCTCAGGGACCCACTCCTCAGTGAGCCTTCAGAGAAAAGCAGTCAGTCACTCCTGTCTCCCTTACTCTCGGCTGCACTCTGTGCTCACCCAGCATGTGATGGAGAGTTTCTATCTCAAGCACACAACCCAAACCCAGCAACTCCTGCACCGCCTCTCCTGGGGAAGGGGGTGTCTTTCCAGTTCTGCTGCTTGTTGGGGCCCTCCTTGAAGAGCAGTGTCCCAACTGTGCCACAGATCACAGTTACGGCAACCCTGAGCTGAGAGCTCACTCCTGTGCTTACTCTTGCAGCCAACCTCCCCGCTCTGATACCTGGGAGCTCTGTCACACTCAGGCACCCCCAGTCTTCCTGTGACCCTGAGGATCTTGAGACCACACTGCCCCAGCAAGGGTTTCACCCCCCGCTTAGCCACCTGAGCAAAGTCCCTCGCTGGAGCAGACTTCTAAAAGTTCTGATTTTGTGCTCCCCTGCTCTATCACTTGCAGGTAGCCGGCTGACGGAGGCTTCCTCCCCCACCCATGGTCTATTTTCCCATGTATCACCTTGGATTCACTCCTCCACACCTCCTACCTTGCAGAAAGTGGTCGCTTTTCTATTCGTAGAGTTGCAGCTATTCTTTTCTTCCATCTCTGGTTGAGTTTGCAGATGTTCAGAATGGTTTGATAGCTATCTAGCTGAATTCCTGGGACCAGATGAAATTAAGGTCTCCTACTCCTCTGCCATCTTGGGCTCTTCTCCTATTATTATTATTTTTAAAGATTTTATTTTTAAGTAATCTCTACACCAAACATGGGGCCCAAACTCACAACCCCAAGATCAAGAGTTGCATGTTCTTCCAACTGAGCCAGCCAGGCACCCCTAGTATTATTGTTTTTTAAGGCTAGGAGAAAGAACAGAGCTTACGTCAGCAGTAAAATGTTCTTTATCTGCAGATGACATGATTATCTATGTAGAAAATCCCAAAGAACAAATAAAAAAAAAATCCTGGAACTAATAAGCAATTGTAGCAAGGTTGCAGGATACAAGGTTAATATACAAAAGTCAATTCTCATGCTTTATAAAACTAGCTTGCCACTTATATATATTGTTAAATAATATATTATTTAATTTTTCAAGTTTTGCACTTTATATAGATGGAATCATACAGTACTTTTCTTCCATGATGACTTGCCTTTTTCTTTCAATGTTGTTTGTGAAATTCATTCATGTTGATTTGGATTGCTGTGTTTAATTCATTTTTACTGCTGTATAATGCATATAGTCTATAGCATAATTATAGGATGCTTACCCATTTCACTATGAATGGAAATTAGAATTTCAATTTTTTTCTTGTTATTAGAAACAATTCTGCTACAAATACACACATCTCCTGGTGCACTTCTGCATGGATTTCTGTAGAATATATGCTGCTATTGAATTGCTGAACCATTGGTATGTGCATCTTTAGCTTTGTGTGATAATGTAAAATTATCTTACAAATTGGTTGTGCAATGTAAGTGTTCCCATTGTTGCAGTGTGCCATATGTATATGGCCAGCCCTAGATTTCAAAATCTTTAAAAAATGCAGTAGAAATTAATGTAATTAAATTGTTATACTAGAAAATATTCACTTAATGCAAAAGAAAACAATAGAGGAACAGAGGAACAAAAAAGACATGAGAAATATAGAAAGTGAAAATAAAATGGCAGACATAAATCCAACTATATCAATAATAACATTAAATGTGAGTGTACTAAACAGTCTAATCAAATGGCAGGGATTATCAGACTGATAACAAAATAAGTTCCAACTATATGTTGTCTATAGGAGATACATTTAAGATTCAAAAATACAGATATGTTGAGGGGCATCTGGGTGGCTCAGTCAGTTAAGCATCTGACTTTGGCTCAGGTCATGATCTCAGGGTCCTGGGATGGAGCCCCATGTTGGGCTTCCTGCTCAGTGGGGAGTCTGCTTCTCCCTCTCCCTCTGCCCCTCCTCCTGCTTGTGCACACTCTCTCTCTGTTTCTCAAATAAATAAATAAAATCTTTAAAAAAATACAAGTATGTTGAAAGTAAAGGGTAAAAAAAGATATTATGCAAAGGCAACCATAGAAAGCTGGAAAGGCTATAGTAGTATCAGAGAAAATAACTTTAAGGCAAAAATAGTACAAAGATAAAGAACATTTTATAATGTCAAGATAGTCTGTCATCCATCAGGAAAGTATAATAATTATAAACATATTCATCTGACAACAGAGACCCAAAATACATGAAGTAAAAACTGACAGGATGAAGGGGGAAATAGACAGTTCAACAAAAATAATAGTTGGAGATTTGATATACCATTTTCAATACTGGGATAGAACAAATAGCAAAAGATCAACAAAGAGAACACTTAAACAACTCTCTATACCAACTAAACCTAACAGATATCTACACTCCACCCAACAACAGACTATACATTCTTCACAAGTGCACATGGAAAATCCCCTAGGGCAAACTATATTTTAGGCAATAGAACAAACTTCAATACATATAAGAGAATTGAAATCACACAAGATATTTTCTCTGACAACAAAGAAATGAAATTAGATACCATATAACTCACAATTTCAATCTTAGGTATACACCCAGGAGAAATAAAAACATTATGTCTACACAAAGACTTGTAAATAAATGTTCACAGCAGCACTACTCATAATAGTCTAAAAGTGGACAAAATCAAAATGTCCATCACCTGAAGAATGAATTTTTTTAAAAGTTGGTGTATCCATAAAATGGAATATTATTTGGCAATTTTTATTCCTTTTTAGGAATGGAATACTGATACATGCTACAACATGGATGAACCTTGAAAACATTATGCTAACTGAAAGAAACCAGTTGCAAAAGACCATATATTATATGATTCTCTTAATATGAAATATCCAGAATAGGCAAATCTATAGAGACAGAAAATAGATTAGTAGTACCAAGGACTGGGAGGAGGAAAGAATAGGATTTCTTTTTTAGTTGATAAAGATGTTCTAGAATTAAACAGTGGTGATAGTCCCACAACTCTGTAAATATACTAAAAGCCATTGAATTGTACACTTTAAAAGGGTGAATCATGTGTATATGAAGCTCCATAAAGTTAACAATAGAGAAGAAACAAATGGTACCTATAACTTTCCTACCTGCCTGCTAAATCAGACAAGCCTTTAGATGGTTTTGTAATGGCTATTTCTCCTACCTCCCTATCTCCCAAAGTTTTATAAAGTCAGCAAGAATTTTAGCCCCGGATTATTATGATTGTTTAAAACCATCTTCTCTTTCTGAATGTCATCCTTTACTTTACCCATGAATTCAACTTCTTTGTATCTCCTGAAATGTGTCTGCTTTCTTAGGTTTCTGCTTGAAAGCTCTTGTATATGTTGCCTCTCTGTTTGGAATGCTCCCCCAATTAGCTAACTTTTATTTCTTTTCAATACTGCTGATGTCACCTCTTTAGAAAAGTCTCCCTTGATTCCCTTTCATCCAAACCTTAACTGGTGCACCCTCTATTCCATTTCACCTGGGTTCGCCTCTATTTTTTTACTTGTCTCCCCACCTCAGGTAAGGTTACTGAAGGCAGGAATTGTATCTTTTAGTTATAAGCACCTTGCCCTGTGCCTAGTTGAAATAGATTAAGAAAGCCTGTCTAAACCCCATAAGCACTTACTGAATTTAACAGTAACAGATTTTATCTTTCAGGTGGTATTTGTTGTGTGTATGTGTGTACTGATGGTGGTAATGATTGTGGCATCAGTTACACCACTGTGGTTCACTTTTCTGAACCGGCAGGAAGCATTTTGAGATATTGCCAGGATTTGCCCACATCCTGAATGAGGCTCTGGGACTGAAGTTTAGCTATTAATACCAGTTGTAAAATGATAATCCAGAAGTGTGACTGGCAGTTTCTAAGTTGGTAACTAGTTCTGACTGTTAACAATTTTTTTGTGTATCATGAAAGAAGCTACTTGGAAATTATATATATTACATGAAATTCCACTAGGGTTTTAAAATTTCTTTTTTTAAAAATTATGTTCAGTTAGCCACTGTATAGTATATAATTAGTTTTTGATGTAGTGTTCAATGATTCATTAGTTAAGTATAACACACAGTGCTCATCACAGCACGTGCCCTCCTCAATACCCATCACCCTGTTACCCCCTACCCCCAACCTCCTCTCCTCTCAAACCCCCAGATTGTTTTTCGTTGTCCATATTCTCTCATGGTTCATTTCCCCCTCTTTACTTTAAATTTCTGATAGTTATTTTACTAAATTTTAAAAATAAAATTTATATGTGAAAATTTAAAATTAAATACCCATTCTTCATTTTGTCATATGGAAGATAAATTCTTCTCCTCAGAGTTGTATATATGCCAGGCTTCTGTCCCAAAGTGGCCAACTGCTTGGTAAGTATTATGGAATTCTGTAAAAAAAAATCCTCTTTTTACTTTTCATAGACAAAAATTATTCTGAAATTAAATCATGATATATTAAATTTGTTATTTTAGCTAAGACATTATTTATATTTATACATTTACCAGATTTTCAAGAGTCTGGTTTTTTTCTACCATATAGCTTCCTCCCCATTGAACTTTATGAATCACAAAGAAGTTGTAATACCATTTCCAACATGTTGAAAATACTATACATAGTTAGATTCCTGAATGAATTGAGATTATGGGGACCTTTAAATAAATACCTTCATGTTTTAGTTTCAATGAACTGTGTAATGGAGTTCCTAAAACTAACCTGTTAGGATTATTTCTATATGAATCTGACTTCAAAACATATTCTTTTTTTAAAAAAAAGATTTTATTTGAGAGAGAGAATACAAGCAGGGGGAGGGGCAGAGGGAGAGGGAGAAGTAGACTCCCTGCTGAGTGCAGAGCCCTAGTTGGACCCCACTTGGAGCCCATGCAGGGATCTATGTGGGGCTCCATCCTAGGACTCTGAGATCACGACCTGAAGTAAGACACTTACCCAACAGCCACCCAGCCACCCTCAACATAATCTTTCAAGGTAGGTTTCAAATGACATCTGGAGGCTTTAACAAAAGTTCTCTTAGTATAATAATAGATCTGACATGCTTCCTCTTGTTCTAGTGAGATTTAAGGAGTAGTTGAATTGACTGGATTTTTTTCCCGATAGGTATTTTTGGAATAGGGGCAATGGTTTCATTATAGGGAATCCCTAGGAAAAAAAATCAGATAATGAGGGTCAGTCTAAAATTCCATGGCTTCTGGGGCACCTGGCAGGCTCAGTTGGTTAAGCTCTGACTCTTGGTTTTGGCTCAGGTCCTGATCTCAGGGTCATGAGATCCAGCCCTCTTCCGGCTCCATGCTTAGTGTAGAGTCTGCTTGAGATTCTCGCTCTCCTTCTGCCTCTGTCCCTCCCCCTGCTCAGCACACACTCTCTCTCTCTCAAAATAAATAAATAAAAATCTTTAATAAAAAATAAATAAAAGAAAATTCCATGTCTTCCTTCTGCCCTAATCCTCCAATAATGCTCCAGTTAATTTCCTAGAAATGTCAACCATCAAGAAAGGAGACTTTGGGATTGCTACGATGAGTGTCAGTTAGAGCGTATTCATTGGGACTATGGAGTTATCTAATAGGATTTAACCTAATTTTGAGAGTGAATGTGGTCAGGGAAGGCCTCCTTGAAGAATACACATTTATTGATTTTGATAGAGAAGTATAGATTTGCCTGGTATATAATAAATAATGGATATTTTAAATTTTACTTCTGAAAGTTTTATTCACTATTCAGAATTTTATTTTATTTTTTACACTATTCAGAATTTTAAATACAAGTAACTGTCTTTCATATAACTGCAAAGGAAAGGAATAAATGTAGCATAGACTGAGACAGGAATAAAACATAATAAGTGCCACATACCGAAAATATAATAGATAAAAGGATAGTTTAAGAAAAAGTTAAGACAATTATTCAAACAAGCTTATTAAAAGTATGGTTTTCCATCAAGAGGATAATTCATTGTCATTAAAGATAATTTTATAAATATGGCAAAAATTAACATATAGAAATTATAAAAATAAAAAACACATTTAGTATATTTCTTAGAATTTACCAAATGTAGGCTACTGTTATGCATCCATGTTATATAACTAGAAATCTATATAAACATCATTTTTAATGATAGTATGATAGTCCATTGAGTGAATTATCATCATTGATTTAACACTCCCCTACTGGACATTGAGGTAATTTTTATTTTTTCACTATTATAAATATTATTGCCATGGATATCATCAGATGTACAGTCTTTTCCACACTATAGACTATTTCTTTAATTAGATTCTTGGAAATGTGATTACTGGGTCAAAACTTTAAACACTTTAAAAACTCTTGATATGTACTATTGAAATAATTTCTAAAAGGAATGTGTGAGTTTATTTTATTATTAGTAATTTATGACAACAAATTTCACGATGCTGATGTCAAACTCCGTATTATTATTTTAAAAAGTATTTTTCCAGTTATAACATCAATATATGGTTATAGAAAATTAATATACTTTGTGTTTATCTGATTTTTTTTTCAGCAGCATTTGATACGTTGGACTAATCTCCCCCTTTGAAACACTCTCTTACTTGGCTTCCATGTTACCATTTGCTCCTTGCTCTATTAGAGATCCCCAGGCTTGGTCCCAGATTTTCTTCCTCCCAGTACCTTTCTCATAGTACATTCTCTTCCTAGGTAATCTCACTCAATCACATGGCTTCAAGTATCATTCCATTCCTATAAAACTGATCAAATTATATGGCCCAGATCCCAAATTTTATATCTAGCTCCAGATCTATGTACCTAACTAGATTTTTAATGATTTTGCTTGTCTTACAAACACTTCAAACCAATATGTCCAAAACTGCACTGATGCCTTGAGGCTCTGCCTCCTAAATCTGCATTAACATATTTTTTTAAAGGTTTTATTTATTTATTAGAGAGAGAGAGAGAAAGCACAAGCAGGGGGAGTGGCAGGCAGAGGGAGAAGCAGGCTCCTCGTTGAGCAAGGAGCCTGATGCAGGACTTGACCCCAGGACCCCGGGGTCATGACCTGAGCTGAAGGCAGACACTTAACTGACTGAGCCACCCAGGCGTCCCTCTGCATTAATATTTGTTGAATGAATAAAGAAGAAAAAATGTCATCACCCAGAAGAGAGTATAGTTCTTTCACAATACAGCTGTGAGAGGAACATTCCAGACAGAATGAACAACAGTTACAAAGGCTCTGAGGGAGGAGAGGAATTATTATGCTTGAGAAATTGAAAGGAAGATAATGGCTAGAATGTAGTAAGAGAGAAATAGTACAGGAAAAGGTTAGATAAAAGACAGGCAGGAACCACATCATGCTAAGCATTGTCGGTCCTGGAAAATAGTTTGGATTTTATTCTTAGTACAATTGGCAAATGTTAAAGGCATTTTAAAATAGAATTATAACTATTTTTTTGAAATAGTTTGACTCACAAGAAGTGAGTCAGCTTTCCCCAGTGATAATAGCTTATATAATCTTAGTGCCTGTCAAAACCCAGGAAATTGATGATATAACACTGTTAACTCAGGTATGAACCTTATTAAGATTTCATCATTCTTTTTTACAAAGTGCTTCTTTTTTTGGGTATAGTTCTGTGAAATTTTATCATATGTCTAGATTTATGTAACCATCACCACAATATAGAACTGTTATAGAATACAGATTATGGAACTGTTCCATCACAAATAACAAACTCCTTCATGTTAACCCTTAAGAGTCACAACTGCCTGCTAACTCTAACTTCTGGCAATCACTTATCTGTTTTCAATTAGTACAGTTTTGTCACCTCTAAAATCTGTTATAAATGGAATCATACATTACACAACACTTAAAATTGACTTTTTAACTCAGCATCCATCCAAGTTGTTGGGTGTATCAATAGTGCATTCTTTAAACATAAAAGGTAAAACTATGAAATCTCTAGAAGAAAATAGACAGAAATCTTCATGACATTGGATCTAACATTGATTTTTTGGATATGACTCCAAAGGCATAGGCAACTAAAGGAAAAATGGACAAATTGGACCTCATCAAAATTTAAAACTTTTGTGCACCAAAAGACACTCTCAAAAGAGTAAAATGGCAACTCACTCACAGAATGGAAGAAAATATTTGCAAATCACATATAATACAACAGATTAATATACAGAATATACAATGAATTTCTAAAACTCAACAACAACAACAACAAAACCCAATTAAAAAATAGACAAAGGACTTGAATAGCATTTATCCAGAGAAGATTATACAAATAGCTGATAGGCACATGAAAAGATACTCAACATTACTAATTATTAGGGAAATGCAAATCAAAACCATGGTGAGATACAACTTCATATCCTTTAAGATGATTATTATTAAAAATAAAGTTTTTGCCAAACTATGGAAAGAGCCTAGATGTCCATTGATAGATGAATGGATAAAGAAGATGTGGTATATATATATATGTGTGTGTGTGTGTGTGTGTGTGTGTGTGTGTGTGTGTATACTCACACAATGGAATATTATGCAGCCATTAAAAAATGAAATCTTGCCATTTGCAATGATGTGGTTGGAACAAGAGGGTATTATGCCTAGCAAAATAAGTCAATCAGAGAAAGACAATTATCATATGATCTCACTGATATATGGAATTTGAGAAACAAGGCAGAGGATCATAGGGGAAGAGAGGAAAAAATGAAACAAGATGAAACCAGAGAGGGAGACAAACCATAAGAGACTTTTAATCATAAGAAACAAACTGAGGGCTGCTGGAGAGGAGGGGGGTGGGAGGGAAGGGGTGGCTGGGTGATGGACATTGGGGAGGGTATGTGCTATGCTGAGCAATGTGAATTGTGTATGACTGATGAATCCCAGACCTGTACCCCCAAAATAAATAATACATTATATGCTAATTAAAAAAAGAAATAAAATATGACATTTGAGTAAAAAAAATAAAGGTTTTACTGATAAATTTTGCTAAGAATTTAATGTAGAATTAATGCCTATCCTTCTCAAACTCTTCCAAAAAATCAAAGAAAAGGGAATGCTCCCAAACTCATTTTACAAGTCCAGCATTACCCTGATACCAAAACCAGAAAAGGACACTACTAGAAGACAAATTACAGTCCAATATTACTGATGAATATAGGTGCAAAATTCTCAACTACATACTAACCAACCAAATTCAATAGCACATACATGATGATCAAGTGGGATTTTTCCCTGGGATGCAAGGATGGTTCAACATACGCAAATCAACAAATAAGTTACATCACATGAATAGAATGAAAGACAAAAATCATATGATTATCTCAGTAGACACAGGAAAAACATTTGACAAAATTCTACATCTATTTATGTTAAAAACTCCTTTACAAATTACGTGT